TTATCATACATTAATCATCAATTATCAATCATTCATTGATAAATTATTACCTAATTATCCAGATAACGCTTGCTCATCGTACACAACCATAACMGATTCAACTCGACGAATAACGTACGGTAATCCCACCGACAAATGCGACCGTAATATAGCTGTGAAATGGTACAGATTATCAGGGTCTGCAGGAGWTCGTTTGCCAACATCTTGTGTGCCAACTCAGCGCTGCAACACTGACGCCCCTGGATGGCTGAGTCAACCACACCCAACCGTAGCCGAGGGCACAGTCTACAGGAAAGTGTGTTTTCATTGGTCGAATAACTGTTGCTACTGGAATAGGGTAATCCGMATAAGAAACTGTAGTGATTTCTACCTATACGAGTTTCGACCACCGCCAGCCTGTAAACTGCGTTATTGTGGCACAAATTAGAGGAATATTTATTGATAYTTAGTTTTATATCAAACGGACTAAATCATTAATCTTTCTSTCAGTCAACAGGGACGGYGTGGGGGAAGGGTGGAGGGGACCGGCTCCAGAGGGTTCTGAACTCCCTTCCTTGTCAGACAAAGTCTTTGAAATACGAGACTCTATTTCTCAAAATAACAGTGTGACCTATTTAAYAATTAGATCTCGAGTAGGGCGAGTGGACTCAGTATGAGCTGATAGCCCATGATATGAAGCCGAAAGCCGAAAGAGCTATCAGCTCGTAGTTCACTCGCTCTACTCGAGATCTAATTGTTTTAGTATTACCATACTAGTTGGACAAACTGAAAAAATGAATGAAATATTATAAATAATTAACTAATGTTTTTATTGCTAAAAATACGCAAAAAGTTGTCGCTTTTCGCTAGTCGACGGCTATTGAAAATAGACCCCGAGTAGCGTAGCCAATCAGAATGTAGGCTTTGCAATAGTCCACTAGTACGCAATACTAATTTCGGATAGTCCARCAGTTTGGTTGGTATGAATCTCAAGTAACACTATTGGAATTTTGCAGTCAATTACTTTTTTCACTTTCTTTGAAACCGCAATAAAAGCTAGAACCTCCAGGCCTCATCTGCACACGCCCCTGTTACACAAGATACTGATCACCAGGAATTGACTGATGTAAACACTTCCATTATAGTAATGACTTTTTCCATTAGTTGCTTYGGCGAGAAGCATCAAGGTTTTGACAGATGAAAATCAAGATGGCGGTCGTTAGCGAAAGTTTCTTTTTTTTGAAATTAACTTCCGTCGTTGTGACAAAAATTATTCTGAAGGACTTTGAATAAATWTATTTCGCACATATTTAATTTTTTTAAGCTTGATTATGACTGCCTTTCCTCGAATCAGCATGGCAATCTGAATCTCCCGTAAAGGCTTTCACAGCCAGAAGGGTAAAAACATGTAAGCTGACAGATTATAAAGCTGAGAGCTGCACTCACTATCGGTCCCAGACGATTTAATCGACAAAGATGAAATGATATCTTATCTCTTATCGTCTATTTTGATAAAGTCCTATTTTTAAAAGCGCCGCTGACCAYGGAACTGCAGGCTCAATCTTAGACCGAAAAGAATTATGGGGCATTAGTTAAAACACGCTATAAAATGGCATTAAATCACAGAAAGCAATATATGTCATATATGAAACCTTTCCATGAGATGAAATTTGGGTGTATTTGCTATTTTAAAGCGATAAGGGTTCACTGACATTTTAAATTACTACAAAAGACGTATTTGAMATTTTTAAGCTTCAAAAATTTGACAACTTTTTTGGCTTCAAATTACAAGAGGATGAATTTGGCATTAATAAATGTACATCTTGGAAGTCATAAAAAACGTTTCTTCAAAATTTTTATTTGAATATTGTATTTGACACCTGATGTATTTATATTTGACAATTTATATAAAGAGTGCTGAGAAGTATGTTAAGATTAAAAGTCGTAGCTTAGAAACCGGGTCAGASCTGTCTATAAAAATGACTAGTCATTTACTCTAGGATAGTTAGTATTCGTAGGCAACCACTTTGAAGCTTTTGTCTCATCTTGAATGAGTGAATGAGGAAGCCGCACGCTAATTGATAGAAACGCGAGTTGTAAACAAAAACGAAAGTTAGTCATTTTTTCCATACTGAAACTGCAATTAAAAAAATGATTCATTGTAATTGTGTTTACTTTCGGCGCTTCYAGTTKTCTTCGGTAGCTTTTTCAGTGYTATAAGCTGTTGTGATTTCATTGGGAAAAGTAAACTTTATGATAACATAAGTTATGAATATATTGCACGTATATTAACCGTGACATATCAATAGTTATAGATATAGATTAACATGAAATCCTGTTATAATAAAAATCTTATTGATTTTCTTCGATCTGAATTACTTATTTATTAATCATAAATCTGATGTAATTACGACTACATCTTTCTAAGATATAAATATGGCCGATGGTCATGATTATAATAATGATAAGGCTTGCGACCACTATTTTYAAAAATGTGTTGTTTTGATTTTTGACATATAAATTGCCTGAAACATTTTCTAAAAACATTTCATGCTAAAAGTCAAAACCACCRTAGTACAAYTCAAAAATGTAAAGAAATATTTTGCTTGAAACTTCTTCTACATAAAATTTYAATCATTTTTGGAACATATGCTCTAGACTTCCATAAGACTTCRTTCCTGAAATCGTGCTTGTAAAGTGAAAAAAATATACCACAAAATATTATTGCTATTATCTTTGTCTAAACCTAAATCATAATAGCTTCCAGCAATTTCTTTAAAAACACCATGATATATGCCTACAATTAAGCTTTACTTTTGAATCTCCTCTAACGATAAGAATATCTGCAATTACTTCTTAATTTTCTTTCCTWTTTGAACTAAAATTAGTCGGAACACAAAGCGATAAATTGYGTCTTGAWTGTCACACCTTTGCGCACGGAAAAATGTGATCTATTTTGAAAAAGGTCTTGATATCTTTATTTACACTGCATGGCATATAGGARCCAAAATATTTAACAATCTAAGGACGTTAGCTTATTAGAAAATGCAAATTTAATTCGTCTCGGGAAAATAAGCTGATTTTTTCTTCTTTGGGCTTGTCATCTAATCCAAWTATTGTTGCAAATTGAAGCCGAAAATTCATCTTTCTTAATTTTATAGGCAAAGAATAAGATCAAATGTATGTCTTAAAGATGTATTTTGACTATATGAGCTAATATTTAAGTCACGTTTAGATACCATTAGTCCGATTGGTTTGACCTGTCAGTTTCTATGACTGTAGACTAATGAACAACTAGCGCGGCGCTCTTCAATCTCAATTATACAACCTAAAGTTGTCATGACCCATTACACCAAATTCAAAACAAATACAGCACTGCATGACAAAGGAAAATTATAATCGGTAATACGTGTTTTAGTTYCAAAGTTTATTTATTTCGCAAACTGTAATTAATATGCTGTTTGATAAGTTGCGGCAGTGTTTTCGCAAACCTTAGATTCACTCAAATTTGCCTTTAAAGTCTAAAATGTACTTATTGTGATCTATTAGAATATTTTTCTTGTGGTAAATAGGGGATTTAGACGTCTTAGCCAAAAGCGCGTTGAAATTAYAATAATAGCTTTTAATGTCAGGTAATCGAGGCTTAGTTCGTCTAGCTATACAAACGTTTCTGTGCTAAGGGCGTCATTTAACGGATCACCAAGAGAGCTGCCTTTAGTGTTGACAGCTGAAGATGAAGTTAACTTTGTTGACCGAAATGAGTCCCTATGGCAAGAATTACTGCAGTTACTCGTGAATTCTTTCTCGTTACGAGAGTCGTTAACGCAGGACCSGCACAKTCTYCTTAAMGCTCGYCGAAAGTCCGACTTGTAAAGAGAATATATAAATGGATCGATTAGAGAGTTACCGACCAGCGTRAACAAAGAAACTTCTATCAACTTACTCGGCACACTAGCTCTAAASCCCAAGGCTTCGATAATGTTGATGATAATMARAGGAAGCCAACACACCGAGAATGTAATGATCAAAACAGCAAACACTTTAGCTGCTTTGACTTCAGCCGCAATATTTAAGGAAATTTTTTTGGTCATGTTTAGTTTCTTCACCTCGTTGATAAGGGTGTTTTTCTCGAGCGTTGGAGCGGACGAACAGTGTAAAGCTTTCCCTGCGCTGGAAGCAACAGCTGAAAACATCCATTTTACTTGTTTTCGTGTCTCTTGGAAGATTTTCATGTAAGCCAAGAAGATAATCACTGCTAAGATAGTAACWACGAATATTAAAAAMCCCTGATTAATTCTCTGTGCTAGTGCCTTTRTTTTSGGRGGCTGGTTTTCCCAAGTAGCTGGCACTATTGTCATACCAAAAGGAACCATCCAAACCACAAAAAGAATTTTATTGACAGACGAACGAGTCATTTTACCATGATAAGACAACGGCTTTACAATGGCTTGGTAGCGGTCGTATGTCACTCCGCAAAAGTTAAAGAGATAGGCAAATAGAATATAACCAATGATATATGGTACGATAAGTTGGACATATTTTACTTGGCCCTGAAGGAGAAAACATGGCACAAAAACAACAGCAACCAAGCAATCAGAAACAGCCAGACTCACCACAAACGTGTTTGTTATTGTTCGRAGCTTTCGAAACCTGCAGAAAAGTGCACATACRAGAGAATTTCCAACAACAACYCCCGACGCCATTAAAGAAAGTGGAAGGCGAAATGTTGCAAGAAAATCTCCAGATTCCATTCCRCTGGTGGYATTGTTTGCTGCGGTTGACGATACATTGRGTAACAGAATAATTTCGGTTTGATTAATTCTCATKCTATATCTTGTAAGTTACCAATTCTTTTGTAAATAAAGCTTCTTCGTGGCASAGGGATCTTTCGTTGCGATTATTTCTGACCACATCTGAAATTCATGGAAGACTTTCTATAATCAGGGTCAGCGAAAGCTAATCCCTGCTCCAATGCACGCTATGGTTCGTACAACATAGCAGATATCAAGGACTAGGATAGTGTCGTGAAAACTATATAGCGGTAAAGGAATCGTTTACAAAATATCCTACTTGACCTTATTCACGAAAGAACTCCGACTAAAGTATAAGGCTCAGACACTGGCACTATATTCACTTCGAAGACAGAAGATCCAAGCTCTTATTAATTCGATTCTACTGAAATAGCCAATGAAATTGCTTTTCTTTGTTCTTTGATGTAATGAATACATTGAGTGACAGGTGCATAAGAAAAGAAATGCTGGTTGTCTGCCCTGGAAGATTATACGTTTTACTTCGGTAGACCACGGTTGACTTAAAAGTGCTTAGCTACAAATCCACAACTGTTTTATTAATATTGTAATACACACAATCCTGAGAATGTCACTGTCGAGAAAAAAAACATACTTCGCAAGCAATTTAYTCTCAGTGAATAGAAATATATGAAAATTCCACTTTGACATGCTTTTGATTTTCTTATAATTCAAAAGATTAAAGGATTATGGGGTTGTCGTATGTCATATATCTTAGAAGTTTCTTTTTTGTCCAGTATTTTTTCAGTGAGTGAAGACTGTATTAGCGGTTTTCCTGAATGTCAATTTTAGAACCTCGTTTACTACAAAATATATTATTTTCTCAATTAAGATAACCCAAAATAATTGCATTATTTGCTGTTATTTYTTTGTACAATAGTAACTAAAAGATGTCAATTTTGATGTTTACTCTAACGTTTGCCATTCATAATTTTGGATMACTAATCWTGGTGGTTAGGACATTGATTTTCGATACTACCATCCCCAAAAAACCTCTTTAACCATCAAAACCATTGAAAGCTTTGCARAAAGCAAGGACTCTTTGCTCGAAATATWAAAATAAARGCTAATCACATTCCGTATTAAATAAGATTTAAGTCAACGCACTTAACAATTTCTTTCCTTAGTAATAGGTTTCAACAATCCATATCAGTTAGTGTCAGGCATTCTTCAGACTTCGTTTTTCTTTTGTGTAAAAGAGAAGTCAGATCTCATAGTAAAAGCAAACATGTTTCAATCTCCTCAATTTATAATGAATCAAAATACGCAATAAAGAGGTAAATACTTCGATATAATCCAATTACTRGTCTGGTTTTCTTTCCGAAAGGTTTCTCTGCTTTTTCATGAAATGTTTATTCATTTTATTTAGGTGAATCTAAGGCGTAAGTTCTCAATTTAGATGCGGAACAAACCATGTTGTATATTGATGCTAGAACTATATTTGCTTCTTGCCGGATAGAATTAAAGCTTAGCAAACAAAGAGGACGCCTTTCTGAAACTCACACCGAATTAGTTTACTTAAAAGCCGCTTTTCTCTAATATGAGGATCTAATCCTCGTATCTTAATGTTGACCTCAGTGTGCTCTGAGCCACTGAAGCTATCTCTGATTCAATTATCGCACATCCTATAGCAAAGAGGTGGAAAACATGCCTAAAATCAACGATATTTCGTAAATCTTTATGGACATATGGTATAGAGAGCTCRAGGCCTATTTTAGATTGTCAAATTCTCTATCGGCAAGTCCTTAAAAATCCACTTTCTGCACCTGCGCGTGCTGCAGAAGATCATGATCGTGACTACTAAAARGTACTTTCTGGCATGTTTTTCCRATTACAACATGCTCGCTGACTGAAGGCCAYGTCAAATAACTAAGTGGTTGGGGCTAAGTAAGTCACAGCGGTCAACCAAAATMGACACTAARCAATCGATGTGYAGACAGAGAAACAGATATATGGTTTCATGTAGACAGGGTTCTACCAACAAACAGAAAATACTGTTTATTTGTATATTTACAAATCTTAACCTTKTGTATCGTCGTTATCACATTGGTAATAAGATCCTGTTAAGTATGGTCAATAGATAAAGAGAAAACTCTATCGTCCTCTTTCACGACACACCTTGATTGTGCAGCGAAGATGATCTCGCCTGAAGTGCAGACATAAGGGTTTTTGGCGTTGGTTTTTATCAAAAGTGGAATATGACGGAAACACAAAAGAGTTTTTTAACTTGAAGTTTTATCGTATCCTTCTCTGGTATCACTTATTGATAACGAAATGAAATGATTTTAATCAAGGAGTTTCCGGGTTTATCAAATGTTGAAGAACAAAGCAAAGGACTTTTGAACTTGAAGTTTATCTCGTATTTGCTGGTATCATTTTAAGTTTCTAAAACAAACACGAAAGCAAGAGAAATACAATTTAAAAAAAAAATGAAAACACTTGTTCTAAAAAGTAATGTAAAAAGATAAATTAACACCGTAAAAAGTATGTGAAATAAGTTACTGACGTTTCGGACGTTAATCCTTCGTCGGAGTAAAGAGATGGAAGTGACGAAGGAAACTTCGACGAAGGATTAACGTCAGTAAATTATTTCACCTACTTTTTTACGGTGTTAAATTTATCTTTTTACATAACTGTTTTTTTAGACAAACCGACGCAGCTCACACTAGTTTACCGCTAGTTCCCACAAAAGTATCATCTTTAACTTGCTGTAGAACTTCATTTTGCAAACATAATTATTATTTAAATTGATATTGACAAGATGCCTGATTTGTCTATGTGATAAAGTGATATWTATTTTCACTTTAAATGAGAAACTGTACCAAGTTTAAAGTTGTAAGACCTGCCACCTCAAATCATGAAAACAAAATCGGAATACCATCGATAGATATGAAATGAAAAGACTTTTTAATTMATTTTAACGTACTTAGATCTAGAAACTAAGATAAAATCAAACGACTAAAAGTCTCCGTTCGTGCCGCTTCCCATTTATTGATAAAAATTGCAAAATGTTTTTTTCATTAATTTTAGAGCTTCATGATTTTTAAAAGACAATGATATTGAACACGGTGGATAAAGAATTTTTTTATTGGCTAGAATTAAGCCTGCTGGGAATTTAATTGACCGAATTTGAAAATATCGAAACTTCATGTTTTAAACTTAAAAAGGCCGTTTTCTTATGAATTTTTTTTACTGGTTTTTACATTTAGTAGTTGGTTGCTGGAGGCTCAGGTAACACTTTTAACATCATATCTCCTACGAACTTTACAACACCGACTCTCGAATCTCGCTACAGTTTTAATAACTGGAAAAGTTCAACCAGGCTACCTGGAAAATCCCAAAGAACATATTGTAAAAGATCAAATGTATGACTCGCCACTGAATAAGGATAAAAATGTGTGATTATRACTCCCTAGTGATGCTTACACGAGCAACAAACTTCCTGGTAATGTTGAAGCGGAGAAGAGAATAATGTCGGCCATGTTTGCTTGTCCAATTGACATATATCAAAACGTTAAAGGAAGGAGAAAAAACTACAAAAAAGTTAAGAAATTACAATTGCATGCAATTAGGTAGAAAAACTGAGAAAGAAATTTCAATAATGAAATAATATCGCTGTGTTTGCTGTCATAAATGAGATTTGAAGACACTGATTATCAATTCCTGGCCAAAAAGAGTAGATAAACTGACAATGAAAGTGGTTTCTGGTCATAATTACATGATACAAATCTTTCAATTGCTTTTTCCAATTTTCRGAATCCAATTTCGTATCTTTGATAGTCCAGCTATCACCTCTGTTTGAAGGGTTTAATTAAAAGTCTTGAGCCAGGTCACGGATAAATGTTTCAACGATTAACAAACACGATTGAGTCAGCATTCTGTGGGTCTTCTGTAATAAGCGGCAAGAAGCCGCCAACATGGATGTGATAATTGTCGTTATTAAAAGTTAAAGCTAAACGAGGATAATTAACTTTTCTAACATATTTGATTGTTTATTGTTGTGGTTTCGCTTTTATCTAGATTTTTTATCTGTTTTCAAATACAATTGTAAAACAAAAAAAAAATAATAATAATACTGTAAAAAAAAATCTTGTTTCGCTTTACTCTAGATTTTTTGTCTGTTTTCAAATACAATTGTAAAAAAAATAACAATAATAATACTGTAAAAAAAAAACAACAACAAAAAACAATAAGAAAATCTAATTTTTACATTTATTTATATATTTATGTATTATAATAATAACAGCGTTCATCGGTTGACCAAATTGTTTGGCAGCATGTTTCAACGCGTCTTCGAAAGAAAAATTAAAGTCGGGTACTTTCACTTTTTAAAGGTAAAAAAAAGCATTTTCAAAGGATAGAGAAATAGAAAAAAATTCCTTCAAGTTTAATGAATTCATGTATTTCTTYTTGTGTCAGTGCCCATGGTAGGGGAGCCCATGAAAATAACAAATAATAACTTATAATCTGCTAAACTTACTTAATCGGATTGAGAAGACGTCATTAGTTCTTTGCTCAAAGGATCATTGATCTTTCAAGGGTTTATCCGTGATGTAAAAATCGTCTAAAAGACGAGCCTAGAACAAAARTTGGGCATTAAATACTTCTGTGATTTTGAATGCAAAATGTTTYTGGYAAAGGTTTTAAACTCAAAATTCTTKGTTTTTGAYCTATGATGCACTAGTARCTGATMCCTGGCCTGAGATCTTTGATCTGCATTAATCCCATTCACAAAGCCACGTCYCTGTCCAATTTTATTGAAACTATATACTCTAGTAGTTATTTTTGAACTTTGTCATGCGAAAAGTGTTGAATGAAAGTTCAGTTGTTTTATTTTGGAGAAAATAGCATAATTATGAAATATTGAATTTGATAAGGGGCACAAGTTGGGCAGACAGGGGATTAACATAGGGATAATCGACTGGAAGACGACGAATTCACTCTAAAGAACACCCAGTGAAAATGATTTATACCTCCCCGTGCAATTTACTTTAAAGGCTCACTTTCAAGTAGTTCTTTGAGAGAATTAATAGAATACTTGTGCAAAAGGATGGATTGTTTTCTATTATCGAGTTTGTGTTAAGCACGAGACGATGTTAAGAAACGGGGAAAAGGCCTCGAGCTTTTCGGAATGTTTTCCATCATCACGAAGGGCTTTATTTCGCAAATAATCCTTGACAACACATCCTGTCCTTTCTTGTAATTATTATAACACAGATCAAATCCTTCCCTTGATGGCGTGAGTTCAGTAAAGTAGAGTAATAGCGCCGCTTAAGAACGAATCGATATCATTGGAAAGTACATCGTAGGTACTCGTCCTGATGGTAAAAACTGCCTGATCTGTAAAACTATTACTTAACACTAACAGCTGCTAGAGTGTTTGTATCTGACTGAGCAGAAAAAGAAGAAAAAAGAAATAAAAGAAAGACTCTTCTTTCAACTTCTTTTTGGCTGTACGGCAGACTCAAACACAATTACCTGAAAAATKTTCTGATTATTTTTTATTAGTTTAAGATTTCAGTTATGAAAAGCAYTTAAGTGACTAAATTTGACATATACAAATATATGTCTTCAGTTTCACCGTTAATTGGGTGCAAAGAGCGTCCTTTCGGGCCRGCATCTTATTGACCAAAACCTTTTAAAAATCATCACATTTCTCACTCAAATGGAATGGATCCATGAATTAAATAAAACTAAAAATTTTTGAACAATTTTGCATGATSACTAGATCAAGTGGAAACCATTTCTTGTTTCCAGTCTCATTAGTTATGTTAGTCGTAATGATGATTGCCCTGTTTGTCAACATAGATTTCTAATTTCGAATTCAAACAAAAAAATAATGGTTTCGAATATTGCACTAAATCATAAGTAATGAAATTCAATCAAAGAAGATTTGGAAACAATTATAACACATATATACCATATTATGTTGGAAGAACCACAATGATTTAATGTCGTAAAAGTGTAACCAAAACGAATATAGCTTTATCATAAAKCCTTCGCATTATGAAATGACAAACCTTGGTGCTTAGTTGAAAGAATCGAGAACAATTCTATTCAGCTACTCAGTAAGAACACCGAGTAATTTCTTTTGACCATCTCTAATATTTACAAAAGAGTCAAAAGAATCAATTAACAAAATAAATTAAATCAACATTTTTTGTAGTTCAAAGCAAGTTCAGGCTGCTATACCCACATAAACTATACTTTATGCGTGCGGTAGTTTTTCAGAGAGAGAGAGAGAGTGGATAAATACATTCGCAGCTCACGAAAGTATTCATATTATATATATACAAATCTAAATGAATAATTAATGTACAAATTGTCAACGACAATTGTCAACAAATTTTCACAAACTGTCAAAATTGTCAAAAGGGAGAAAAAAAGACAGAACAAAAATGTTTTTTTTTGGAGAACCTCAGGCCAAAAAGAGACAATGACGTATAGATTATAATGTATTTACTTAGATAATCAGGTTTATCGAGGCGGAGTAGTATATAGTGGTCNCAAAGTTGACGTAATATTTTTATCAAATATCAGTTGGATTGTTTGGACTATCTTGTTTATTTTAATAAAGCGAACCTTTWGCACAGTGGAAGCTTCTGGCCCATGTTTGTAGTTATTCGACCGATACTGATTCAAGAAGCGAGATGTAAGTCCAAATATTCATATATGATATAATTGGCTGGTTTTTAATATACTTATTGACTCTTACAAGTGCTCGAGAAACTTTGAAAGGCTAATTGTGTAATTATATAACCTATTTTAATTTTTGCGTTTTATACTGAGAAAAAAAGGCGGAAAGTGAGCTGGAAAAAAACCCAGACAATATTTTGGTTTTGATTGATCGCTCTAGAAGTCTTGGGTTGAGCACTGCTCGYTGTTCTGTTAGTGAAAAACGCTTCAAAACCATAGAAAATCTKTTAAAAAGCTGCATAGAAAATATATACTTCATCATCGCAGTAGGCCAACGATCACGACCAAAAGTAAACAACATTGCCAAAAGTAACATTATATTCATAATGATTGATCATTGATGGTCATTATTACTGAACTGTTAGTACATGCTTATCTAAAACTTGTTGTTAATTAGATGGAAGAAGCGACGGTTTCATGCGCAATTTGGTGAATGCCTTTTCGCACAGGTGATCTCGGCTATTGACAACTGCGTTTAACAATTTATATGTATGGTCAATATTCAAACGAGATCCATGTAATTACCCTGACAGAGTAGTTAGGTTTATGTGATTTAATTTAACACTTTATGTGTATAATTTCATCTTAAAGAAAAATGTCAAAAAGTTTTTCACGARATTTGAGATGAAACCAAACATTTCTGATCTTGCATTCTCAAACGCTACTCAAACATCAACAGCATGTGACCTTGTATCCCGGCCTCTTTCACAGATGATGTTTGTGAGGATCTTGACCGTCRTGTCGATCACAACCGTCACAATCGTCACCTGTGACCTCATCAATCTTGACAGCATTTGGACCTCGACCTCCACATTCCATCGTGACCATGACTACGCCCTGATTGGTCACGTGATAAAGACCCTGCCTTTGTTCATTGCCGACTGCCTGGTAGCTTGCCAGGAAATGTTTAGGTGTTTCTCAGTGAACTATGTTAATTTTCACAATGGCACGTTCAGTTGCGAGTTGAATTGGTCAAACAAGAAGCAAAGCAAAGACTCGTTTGTGAGAAGAGAAGGCTATGAATATGCTGAACCACAGGTAGGGATTACGTCATATTAAGCTTGCACTGAAATTCCCTGTATAAACATCCTTGGAATATTGCTCCTACTGTTAGTGACACACGTTTATTCCTACATTAATTTTGAACTTCTTTGGAGTAGTTTTGACTCTTTTTCCGATTTGATTTCAACCTCCTGAGTAAAAATACTCGCAATGTAGGGTAGATTAACTCTCTTTATATTAAAGTAACTCCATCAGGCTGAGTAATTATATCATATTTCAATTCCTTGAAAAAAAAAGTGCAATATCTTCCCACTCTTATTTACCTTTACCCTTACTTGACTTTACACTACCCTACAATACTTAACACTCTCAAATGTTTGGCAGAAATTTCTACATTGTGAAGGAAAACTATGTKCACCAAAAGAAGGTTAGTACTGCAATACACTTTTACAAACAAAGTGTTAGATATCAATATCGAAATAACTCAATTCAGTGCAAAAAATGGAATTCTACTTAAGTTGCTGATAAATGAAGATGCTTTGCCAAGTGAAAAGGTAGAGAGGCTCAGCTCGTTTGCATTGCCATTCGTATTTGTTTTATAATTTCCCTCAGTTATTTTGCGGAACTTCATTTGAATTTCTCTATACTATGGATAATTTGTTTAGCTGAAGAAGATGGGTGGTTCAAGTTCAACTCTTCGCGGTTCAAGATTTTTTACGACAAAAGGAAATGGCACAAAGCTCAAGCTCATTGTAACTCTCTTGGCGGCGACTTGGCGTCCTTTGGATCACGCACAGAATACCAATTTATTCAAGAAACCTTTTTTTACCGTAAGTACAAATGTATACTCGGGGATTCCTTAAAGCGAATTAATTAAGAATGCTCTACATGCAATGCATCAACTGCCACAGTGATTGAGGAAATTTCAGAAACTTTTGATGTTTTGGATTAACTTCAATGCAACCATCAACGTACCCATCAATGCGCTTTCCAAATTGTCACCTGCTGTCATGATTCCCTTAATCGAAACGAGGCTCTGGTATCTCGTTCACGTGACCGTGGTGGTTTACCGTTACAGTTTCAACGCGAAAGTGGGTCATTTTGGGGTTGCCATAATCGTGAAAAGCCGCTCTTTCCAATGACTACCAAAAGCACAAGTTCAGGCACGAAATTCTTAGGTCATTGGTTTAGCTCTGCCGTTAGCCGTTAGCCGTTAGCCGTTAACGTGATGCTAAAACTCTCTATTTATATTTTGTTGTGTCTTCTTTCCTAACAGATGATTTCTTAATCAGCACACGCCTCGAAACTTACAGGTAATATCATGAATGCCATGTGTGTACTCGAATCACTGTGGCCTTCGTCTTCCATTAAAAATATTTCAATGTTTCAGTTTGCACAGGGGGGCAGTAATAGTAACCAAAGACTCCCGAAAGGCCATATATTTTGACGGAATTGATGACTATGCAACAATACCAAAGTTCGACATTCGTAAAAGCGACTTTACTATCGCATTCTGGTTTAAGGGTGGAGCAAGTAGTTATGGATTTTGGAACATCTTCAACGACAAAAAGGGCAGCAAAAATAAGCAGTTCTCCATATATATTTGGTCAGGCAGTATGAGCTTCCCTTTTTACAATACTCACGGTAACTTCTTGTGCACGGGAATAGGTTTGAAATCAACTAGGTATGTGGACTGCAAAATCATGATATTTTTCAATTAGAATAGGTATAAGCTATGTATAACATTAACGATTTTTTTTTGAATTTCATGTAGTCATTTTCCCATCGGAAACTGGTATCACATGACTGTGACTTGGAATAGACAGGCTAAGGTGTGC